TTCAAACATTTTTCAGTTTATATAGTGAATGTTTGAGTTTGTAAAGAAGAATACAAACACTGCTATTTTTTGAACAGTCTCATATTCACTTTTCTTCAATTTTTTTATAGGCACAAATTTATATATTTTTCTTCATGTTTTGATTTGGAATAGAATGTGTAGTGTTCCCAATGCATTTGTGTGTATGGAAATAAAAATTATTAGAAGGATTTTGAGCTTTATTCCCTTTTTTCAACACACTGCTATTATTTTGAATACAACTGTATGTGCTCAAAGCTCATTCATGATTACAGGAAGAGCTATAATCTGCAGGAAGCCCCTATTAATACAGACCCCATAAGAATGGGCAGGCTAGCACATTTCCATAAGCAAAACAGGATGAATGACGAGGCTACCAAACATAAAAACAACATGCGTTTTGACAATCCCATTAATTTCCCACAATGTAAATTCATCATCAATTGTGTCATCCAGTGATGCAGATCCACTTCAGTCACAATGCCCAAATGAAAAAAAAGAACAAACTTGCCACATGACTCCCACCAAATGTTATTTCCCAGTCCATGCTGCAGTACAAGTAAAGGGGCTTGGTCTCTGGGTGACTTCATGGACAAAATATGAACATGACCATAAAATCTATACTAGACCTAAAGAGCTTGGTATGAATTTTGAGAGGGACTCCTGGTGTTTATTTGTTTGTTTGTTTTTTTACACTACCTCAACCATTTGTTTACATTCACTTGTCAGTTGTCACCGTATGAGTCACTAGTTTGTTCGGATGCCGGAGGGTGCTGACTCCCTAACAACCAGGAAGAAGCTGTCACATTACAACAAACAAACATTATGGGTATTATTTGTTATGCTTGCATGAATGATGAGACATTAAAAGCATATTTTTTTATAAATAGATCCCTTGATATATCCCTTGATATATTGGCTAGCTGCAATGGAAGTTCCTGACAAAGAGTCCCAAGGTATTTCAAAAGCCTTAACTTCTGATCTATTGCCACTTTTATTCTCCTTTTTCCACTTAATTTAAGGGGAAAGATGCTCCTGAACCATTAATTCCATTACTGTAAAATCAGTTAGATAAATACAGATGTTGCTACATAGAAAATCATGATAAATAACATAAATCCCAACACAAATAGAGCAAGTAGAAAAATTAGAGTTGAATTTAATCTTGTGATTTAAAAAAATATCCCTGAAGCAAAATACCAGATCATTTTGAGAGCCCTCGCCAGAAACGGTGTGCACATGGCATCAAATAGCTGAGGGCTGATTTGATACATGACACACCAGACAGCTGCTCCAGTGTATGTCATGTTATTTTGTCTGTATGCATGCAAGACAGTTATGCAATCTGTCTCTTGGCTGCCTGTCCATCCACTGGAATATATTTATTGTCCCTCTGTCTGCATATTTATTGGCTATAGTAGCAAAAAAGTTATGATATTAAGCTTAAGCGTTTTCCTTTTTAATGCATTTTCATTTTGTTCGCCTGAAATGGACCCACTGACATTTAAGTAACTGGCAATTTAAGATCTGCATGGTATATATTATACATTGTGAGCAGTCATGACTGATTAAAATTCTCCAGGTCTGTGATGTTTCAGTGATGTGTTTTCAAATTTTAAAGGGACAAAGATTTGCAATTAAGTGCAGGTTAAAGTGGAAATTAAACTCATTGATTTAATTTTTTTTTTCTAAAACTGTTACATTCAACACATGCAGAGAATGAAAAATGTCACAGTTATTTGCTCTCTCAACTAAATTGCCCATCAATCAATGGATAGTTTTATAACTGATCACATGTGCAGCACTATTGCAATTGCAGAGCAAATAGAGGCTAAGATGGCAACTTCCTTGACTGTAAAGGATAGGAGGGTTGAGTTCCGCTTTAATATATAATCATTGTTGACTTCTTTGGTGGAATTGAAACAGATGAAGTGATACTAAACACACACCACTGTTTAATTTACTTTATCCCTTCCCTTTCTGTATGTGGATGCTGGCACTGTATTTATTTTAATTAAAAAAAGTTTATGTACCTTTTCCCTAATCATTATACAGTTGTCACATGACCCAGCTCTTTCACAACCTGTTTGCATGGAATCATAGATAGGAGGAGCTTCTAGTGCTCTGCTGCTGGTCATCACATGTTCAAAATAAAAAATAAAAAAATCCTTTTGAATACAGAGTAAAACAAATAATACCATTAAGCCATTTTAAATCATCATACAAATATACTGTATATTTGAAATCAAATCTGGAAATAATATGGTAGATTTCTGTCAATCACAGGCTGTGTCATGCCCCTCCAACCTGTGTCTTAGAATAACAATGAGGTGAAGCTGTAATAAGTTGTAATATTCCACCCCAATTGTGTTTAGCTGGTTAGTGGGCATAAAGAAGAAGGGAGGGAGTTGGCTGTCATTTGCCACTGTGTATACGCCCACATGTGACTGTATAGTCACATGGGCTGCTCAAATGTGATCAGGAGAAATGCTCAGCATAGAAACCTACTGAACACTGAGCATGTGCAGAGCTGCCAACACTGCTCTGCAAAATTGCTAGCTGCATTGGGGACCTGGACAGAAGGGGGAGATGGAAAACAGCAGGATCAACCAGGTATTTTGCAGAATACAGAAAACAAATCTCATAGTGACTGGGTGAGCATGAACAGCATGTAATACAGCATTTATTGATATTTTTTAATGATGTGCTTCAGAATCGTTTTGTATCCTAGTTTCAATATTGAGCCAGGGTGTGGAGTGAAATGAAAATGGTTCTAAAGTCTATAATGACACATCAATTAAGGCAAACAAACATTTTTATGTAAGAGGTAAATCCTACATTTAACCATAGCTGTAGATTTTTTTAGAAATGCAGTGGCAATAGATATGCAATTGTTCACTATTTGTTGTTATAACATGCCATATTGAATGCACCAGCATGTGTAGTTTAGGGCCTTTTATTTATTTATTTTAGGTACTTATATAGCACCGTCAATTTATGTAGTGCTTTTTACATATATATTGTACATTCACATCAGTCTGTAACCCTCAAGGAGCATATAATCTAAGGTCCCTAACTCACATCCATTCATACACATATTAGGGCCAATTTAGACAGGAGCCAATTAACCTACCAGCATGTCTTTGGAGAGTGGGAGGAAACCAGAGTACCTGGAGGAAACCCACACAGGTACAGGGAGAACATGCAAACTCCAGGCAGGTGATGCTGTACCAGCGGATTTTAACCAGCGACCCTAGCACTGCCAGGCGGAAGTGCTAACCATTTAGCCACTGTGCTGCCCTTCTGACAGCTGTTTGGAAGTGTGGCCAAAGATTCTTCAATAAGGCACCTGAAAATGATTTTTAATGAAATAGGCATGCTTGTGGCTTAAAAGTTATAACAGCAAGCTCATGTAGGAAAAGCCTACCCATGCTGCTATATAAATACAGTAGAAATAGAGTATCTGATTAAAACAAACATGATTTACAACATACAGTGCTACTTAAAATTAAATATATAAAAAATAACTAATTCAGACCTTAATACACTCAACCAAAAGAAAAAAATCAGAACAAAAAATGCTGTGTAAATCAATAAAGATGCATTAAAACAATACATCATTAGTTCTAATCCAGAGTGTTCAGCCCAGCATTAAGGATCTGACAGGTAAGACAAAAATTGAGAACACCTGTCACATACTGTACCTTGGTTGGAGGCCGAAGTGATGAAAAGGCTACAAAGAAGCAAGGGTGCCAGTAATCAGGTAGCAGGTAATAGTAGCCTCTGGATGACAGTCAGCAGCAGTGCAGGTACACCCAGAAAGGAACCAAGGATAGCACCCGGGAACTGGACCTTGGAAGATTGGCACAGAGGCTGTGATGACACACAGTTAGAGGTAGATGCAGGTACCCACTGGGATCAAAGACGTAGTCAGATTGCAAGCCAGGGTCAGTATAAATGGAAATAAGGACATAGTCAGTAACCAAGCTAGAGTCATACACGAAGATCAGGAGAAGCATAGTCAAGCAGCATGAGTTGCATGAGCATTAGCATTAGCTGCACGAGTATTGGTCACCTGACAACACCAGTACACTTCCTGCTTTGTGAATGGCGTCCTGTCAATGTGCTGAAGTCACAGAACTCAAGCCCTGTTTTCTCTATATAGATGTCATCAGGAGCGATCAGATTACTGCAATATCTATCCCAAAAATACATTGAACTTAACCCCTTCCAACCAAATGCATTTTAATTGTTCCATATACATATCATCAATTCCTTAGTGGCCATAACACAAACAACCTTTCTCCATATAGATGTGTGCCTCTAGCTTTGCTACCTCCATTGTCGATAGGGAAAACAACATTGTTGCAGCAATATTGGAAATTTGACAGCAATACTAGAAATTTGACAGCACACTGTTTTTTTTTCTAGGAGTACACTGGAAAATATGCACCAAATTTACTCCTGGGGTGAAAAAGAAACCATAAATAAAAAATGTTATTAAAAATAATATTAATAAAACTAACAAAAATAAGAAAGATTCGCACTCCTAAAAATATCCATTAATTAGATCCAGCTTTACAAATGTCAATCCCAGAATGAGGCAAAGAGAGGACTCAATAATTGGAGATTAAGCAATTTAACATGAATGTTCAAGCCAGTTGGTTGTAGAGAACTAAACTCATAGATCTACCTGGTCTCATTCTTCAAAATCTCTTTCCTCCAATGCCGATACATTCTGTGTATCCCATAAAGATTTGCATTTCCTAGATTTGGATATTTTTAAGCATAATGGGAGGATCTGTACCAAGACCCATTTTTAACCACTTGCCTACCAGGCACTTATACCCCCTTCCTGCCCAGGCCAATTTTCAGCTTTCATTCGCACTTTGAATGAAAATTGCGCGGGGTCATGCAACACTGTACCCATATGAAATTTTTATATTTTTTTTGAGACAGATAGAGATTTCTTTTGGTGGTATTTAATCACTTTTGTTTTTTTTTTTTTTTCTAAACAAACCAAAAACAACTGAATATTTTGATTAAAAAAATGTTTTTTCTTAGTTTCTGTTATAAAATTTTGTAAATAAGTGATTTTTCTCATTCACTGATGTGCGCTAATGAGGCTGCAGTGATGGGCACTGATAGGCGGCACTGATGAACACTGATGAGGAGGCACTGGTAGGTGGCACTGATGGGCATTGACAGGCATCACTGATGGGCACTGAAAGGCAGCACTCATATATGGCACTGATAGGCGGCACTGATAGGCGGCACTGACTGGCACTGATAGGCGGCACTGACTGGCACTGATAGGTGGCACTAAATGGCACTGTTAGGTGGCACTGATAAGCAGCACTGACAGGCACTGATAGGTGGCACTGATGCATACTGATAGGTGGCAATGATTACCAGCACTGATAGGCAGCACTGACTGGCACACAGCTGAACACATGACAGAGCCAACGTCTACGGCTCTTTCCATTGATCGGTAATCCAGTGCGCTCCGGGGGGCATGCACACGCGGCTAGAGTGGAAGGACGTCATATGATGCCCTCCCAGAATGAGAGAACCACCTTGTGCCTGTCATTTCCTTATATGGTGAGCGGGAGGCGGTTAAGGAAACCAACATAAACAGCTACATACTCACCTCCAGCTGTCACTACCCAAGTGGATTTCAAGTATTCCGAAAGGGAATGCTGCTACTGCTGTGAGCTTGTTTTAGGCCCTAAATCTGCCTGTGAAATGGTGCATTAGTATGTATACAACCTGCTACAACAAAACTGGCATTTACAAAGAAAAAAATATTGTTTACATTTTTGGAAAATGACATTCCCTGGATTCTTACTTCTGTTTGTAAACAAAGTTGCTGGTGATTCCCTTCATCGATACCAGTCCCTTATCCTAAATGAGGGTCTGGTATAGATTTTAGCATTCTGTAGAAGCAGTTACAGAATACTGCTGTCTAGTGTTGCTTCATCTATATAAGCCCCTGTTCTCTTAAGGCAAGCAGGCCTACTAGTACTTGATTACTCCCAGGTGATCTGTTCTCCAGCCAGATAGCACCAGAGTCAGAACAAAGGTAAGGCAGAGTGCAGGTGTGGCACAGGTGAGATACAGGTGTCTGCAGAAACTGATGGAGACTGGTGCCTCTGAAGGAGTGTGATCAGAGGGAGGTGCTGTGGTCATTCCAGGCAGCAAGTAGAGACATGGTCAGAAAATGGGCAAGTGGTCCATCCAGGTGGCAGGCAGAGACATGGCCAATATACAAGCAGTCCAGGTAGCAGGCAAAAAAAAGTGGTTGATAACAGGCAGGGTCTTTCCAAGCAGAAGATAAATATATGTGGTTAATAAAAAAGGCAAGGGTAGTATTCAGAGCAAGCAGATCCAATACAGCCAAGAGAAGCTAGAAGACATGAGGTTTAAATCAGGCGATGACATAATGCAAGCCAATGGGAGGCAAGTAGGGAGAAGAAACCTACAAGTGCTGCCTGGTAACAGGACACTAAGAAGCTAGGTAAGGGCCATTGTCAGAATACAGGGCACCCCAGTCTATGACAGCAAGGAGAGGGGGTCTATGGTGCGACCACATTGGCTGGGCAACAGAACAATAGGTGATGGGGCTGCCCCAGATATTGACCAGAACAGCAGGGGACAGAGCAGAGGAGGAGCTCTGGGAAGCTGGCTCAACAAGGTAAGTCTTTACATGTTGTAAGGTATGGGCAAGTTAGCACAGGGTTAAATCTGATGATAAATAGATTTAACCCTGATAACTGGTCAGGGTAGCCCAATTATGATACCTGCTTGTCTTCCTGGTAAAATCTGGGCAACTTGACACTGATGGCTGGTTAATATTGTATTCTTCTGGCATATGTTGTACAGCTGCTTAATTGGCATAGTGATACAATGTATCAGCACAGGATGGAACTAGATCATCAATATACACTCACAGGCCACTTTATTAGCCACTTCAGCTTCATAAGATTTACCCCCCTTCTTGACCAGGCCATTTTTTGCAATATAGAGCTGCATTACTTTAACTGACAATTGCGTGATCATTCACCACTGCCTCCAAATGAAATTTATGTATTTTTTTTCCCACAAATAGAGCTTTCTTTTGGTGGTAATTGATAAACCTCTGTGGAGTTTAATTTTTGCGTTATAAACAAAACCTAATATTTTCATTTTCTACTGTAAAAAATATCCATTAAATAAATAAAAAAAAAAATGTCTTCATAAATGCAGGCCAAAATGTCTTCTGCTACATATTTTCCCAATAAGGGTATATTGGTTTGTTTGCGCAAAAGTTATACCATCTACAAACTATGTGGGACATATACAGAAATGTTTTATTTTTTTTAAATACTAGTAATGGCAGCCATTAGCAGCTTATTGTTAGTGGACTGAGATATCGTGGTGGACATTTTTACACTAACTGACACTTTGTGGTAACCAGTGACAGTAATACAGTGATCAGTGCTAAAAATACACACTGATCACTATATAAATGACACTATTTGGGAAGGGGATTAACATCTAGGGCATCTAGGGCCTAGCTGTGTGCTTGGTGTACACTAGGTGGTGCTGGTACAAGGGGAATTGATGGGATCATTGTTCCCACAGCTCTGCAGGTACACATGATGATCACTCCCCAACCCCCCCCCCCCCCCCTGTTCAATTGCTTGGTAACACAAATTGCTAATCAGTCAATCACGTGGCAGAACAGAGCTCTTCCTATGTAAACATAGACAGAGTTCTGTTGTTCCTCCCTGCCTGATGATCTGTGGCTGAGAATGGTCAGAAAGAGAGAACATATCCAGTGAGCAGCAGTTGTGCGTGATGAAAGTACCTTGTTGATGTCAGAGGAGAATGGGCAGACTGGTTGCTGAAACATTCAGATGGTAAGGTCAGAATTTGGCTTAAACATGAAATCATGGATCCATCCTGTCTTGTTTCAATGGTCCAGGCTGGTGGTGTAATGGTGTGGGGGATATTTTCTTGGCACTAGCAAGGTGTACCTAATAATGTGGCCGATGGGTGTAGCTCTCTCTTTCATGCTCTGACATGATCTGAGATGAAAGGAGAAGGCTGGCTGAATAGTACTACATTGTTTACACATGATATCACTTTAAGTGGCCATCACAATGATCATGTGTGCTTGAACCATTATGATGACTCAATACCAGACATTCAGCTGGAAAACTGGCCACTCAAAGGTGTTTTCAGCATTGCTATTTATAAACTGCAGTTCAGAAATACATGTCCACATCCCTGCCATTTTTGTACAATATAGCAATAGGGAGGTGGTTAAATGCTGTAGTCGCATTCTTTGGCAACAACCCTAAAAGAATGTGTGTCCTTTGCCCTGTAGCCAGTTTCTAATTAGACAAGGTCAATGATTTTCCTCTATGATTTAACCAAGATTTGGATGTAGTACAGGTTCTGCAGAAGCCTAGATCTACAGTCAGGTTCATAAATATTGGGACATGGACACAATTCTAATATTTTTGGCTCTATACACCACCACAATGGATTTGAAATAAAACGAACAAGATGTGCTTTAACTGCAGACTGTCGGCTTTAATTTGAGGGTATTTACATCCAAATCAAGTGAACAGTGTAGGAATTACAACAGTTTGCATATGTGCCTCCCACTTGTTAAGGGAACCAAAAGTAATGGGACAATTGGCTTCTCAGCTGTTGCATGGCCAGATGTGTGTTATTCCCTCATTATCCCAATTACAATGAGCAGATAAAAGGTCCAGAGTTCATTTCAAGTGTGCTATTTGCATTTGGAATCTGTTGCTGTCAACTCTCAAGATGAGATCCAAAGAGCTGTCCCTATCAGTGAAGCAAGTCATCATTAGGCTGAAAAAACAAAACAAACCCATCACAGAGATAGCAAAAACATTAGGCGTGGCCAAAACAACTGTTTGGAACATTCTTAAAAAGAAGGAACGCACCAGTGTGCTCAGCAACACCAAAAGACCACGGAAAAAAACTGTGGTGGATGACCGAAGAATTCTTTCCCTGGTGAAGAATACACCCTTCACAACAGTTGGCCAGATCAAGAACACTCTCCAGGAGGTCCAGGAGGTAGGTGTATGGGTGTCAAAGTCAACAATCAAGAGAAGACTTCACCAGAGTGAATACAGAGGGTTCACCACAAGATGGAAACCATTGGTGAGCCTCAAAAACAGGAAGGCCAGATTAGAGTTTTCCAAACAACATCTAAAAAAGCCTTCACAGTTCTGGAACAACATCCTATGGACAGATGAGACCAAGATCAACTTGTACCAGAGTGATGGGAAGAGAAGAGTATGGAGAAGGAAAGGAACTGCTCATGATCCTAAGCATACCACCTCATCAGTGAAGCATGGTGGTGGTAGTGTCATGGCGTGGGCATGTATGGCTGCCAATGGAACTGGTTCTCTTGTATTTATTGATGATGTGACTGCTGACAAAAGCAGCAGGATGAATTCTGAAGTGTTTCGGGCAATATTATCTGCTTATATTCAGCCAAATGCTTCAGAACTCATTGGATGCCGCTTCACAGTGCAGATGGACAATGACCCAAAGCATACTGCAAAAGCAACCAAAGAGTTTTTTAAGGGAAAGAAGTGGAATGTTATGCAATGGCCAAGTCAATCACTGACCTGAATCCGATTGAGCATGCATTTCACTTGCTGAAGACAAAACTTCAGAAGGGAAAATGCCCCAAGAACAAGCAGGAACTGAAGAGATTTGCAGTAGAGGCCTGGCAGAGCATCACCAGGGAAGAAACCCAGCGTCTGGTGATGTCTATGCGTTCCAGACTTCAGTCTGTAATTGACTGCAAAGGATTTGCAACCAAGTATTAAAAAGTGAAAGTTTGATTTATGATTTTTTTTCTGTCCCATTACTTTTGGTCCCTTAACAAGTGGGAGGCACATATGCAAACTGTTGCAATTCCTACACCATTCACCTGATTTGGATGTAAATACCCTCAAATTAAAGCTGACAGTCTGCAGTTAAAGCACATCTTGTTTGTTTCATTTCAAATCCATTATGGTGGTGTATAGAGCCAAAACTTTTAAAATTGTGTCGATGTCCCAATATTTATGGACCTGGCTGTATTTGCTGTGGTGAACAGGGGACAATCTCTGATGAGCTGTACATATTTTCCAATAAAAAGAATAAAAAACAGAGAAGTTCAAGACTCTGGAGAACACCCCGTTTTTACATACAGCAGTACACCACCCAGGCTGCTGGAGATGTTAAAGTGTTACTAAACACAGGACCCTGCATTCACTATA